TGGACCTCTCCTCACTTCCTTCTATGTGGTGGCGATGCTAGTCCCACCTTGTGTCACAACCTTGTTTCCTGGCCGAGGTCCATGGCCCCTGGGTGCCTGGGTTGGGTGGGGGACCTGCCCTCACCCCATCACTGTTCACACCTGAGGGAGAGGCCGCAGCACACATGGCCCTCCCCGCCAGACCTAGACTCCTGAGCGCGGGGCCACAGGGAATCTGCAGCCTGGAGTCCAGCTAGAAGGCGGTTAAGGCTTCTGGTTGCCTCCTCTTGTTCTTAACCTGAGATTTTAATTCCTAGAAAGCAAACGGAAGAGACTGTCATTTAAAAGCTCTGCCTGAGGCAGGTCTCTCCTTTCACGTGAGACCAGACAGAGTACAAACTGCAGCGGCAATGGTAGGACAGGCATTTAGAAAGTTCCTTTCCCTCTTTGACCGAGGATTAGTTGAAAGGAGTGCTGCGGAAACTGCAGCCAAAGGAGGCATTACATTTCCAGAAAAACCTCAAGGAAAAGTATTGCAAGCAACAGTAGTAGCTGTTGGATTGGGCTCTAAGGGAAAAGGTGGAGAGATTCAACCAGTTAGCGTGAAAGTTGGAGACAAAGTTCTTCCAGAATATGGAGGCACCAAAGTAGTTCTAGACCACAAGGATTATTTCTTATTTAGAGATGGTGACATTCTTGGAAAGTATGTAGACCAAAATAAATCACTATTGAAATGGCAAACCGTGAAGCTGCCTATTCCACTGAAGTTCTGAAATCTCATGTAAATAATTTCCATATCTCTTTTGTAATAAATTAATAATATCCAAAACTAATGACATCCAGTGTCTCTTAAAATTTAGTTTCACTGTACTGATATAAATATTTCCAAATAAAAATGTATATAAAAAAAAGCTCTGCTCAAAAAAAATAAATAAAAATTTAAAAAATTAAATAAAAGCTCTGCCTGAAATTTCATCGAAGCCCCCTGCAAAACTCTGGGCTTCTCAGAGCTTACACAATCTTTAAAGTAGCTGCTTCTACCATTTGAAAGAGAAAGGTGACTGCACTTGATTGTTTGCTGGCTGAAATTCCCAACAACTCGGCCACCCTCAGAGTGACACCTACTCTTCTGAGAACAGCCCAGGAAAAGGTAGAATGAGATCACTGGAGTCGCCCCACCAAGGGAAATACCGGGATGGGATTACATGGAGGGTACTGTGCAGAGTGGGTGATAAGTGCGGTTTGCTGAGAACTCCCCCCGCCCCCAGTGGCTGCCAGAATGATCTGTCCAGAACACAGGTCTGGCTGGGTGACCTCCCTCATTTATAACCCTTTCATTGCTTCCCACAGCCTTTGGGGGCCCGTCCGAAGCTAACCCAACAACCTTCCTGTTCCAGGCCTTGTTCAGCTCTCCAGAACTCATGCTGAAATTTATTCAAAGAACAAAATGAAAGCCTTCTTTAATATCAAGGCCACACAGTGGCTTTCCTGGGATCCAGCATAATGGGCAGGATGTGGAAAAGGGAGCAGCAGGGACTGCGGGAAGGGAAGGCAATAATAAAGGAGTGGACACTTTCAGCAGCCACCATGTCAAGCTGCTTCCCATGCCATATCTCCCTGAATTCTCAGACCCCTAGGGGAAGGGACAATCCTTTCCTCTGAGAGCTGAAGCAATGTGACCAAAGTCATACAGGCAGAAAATGGAGGGAGGGCGTTCTAATCCCAAGTCCCTTCTCCCTGTCAGACCTCTCTGTCACATACTTGGAAAGACTGCTATGCTCTCAGGCCCAGGAGATGCTCCAAAAGGAGAGACAAGGAAAGCAGCCAGGGGCCCTTTGCAGCCAGAGTGGCAGGGGCAGGGGCCTTCCCTGAGGACGCGGGGCCCCAGGACAGCCAGCAGCCTCCACAGACCTCCACACCCAAATCCCTGCATGGAGCTCAGGGGAACACTGCAGAAGTCCACCTTCTATTTAATGTCATCCTCTCTCATCGAATTTGGATTTTGTAGTGGTTTTAAGTCCATGTACTGACCTTCTATCCTTGACTCCTCCTTGTGGCTTCCCTGGGACCGAGCCCCACTGGCTACAACCCCAGTCCCTGTGTGTGCCCAGGATGGCTCCAGAAGCCTCAGAACCATCCCATCAAACTCCAGGACTCACCCCACCACAAAGAGGCTGACGACGACTGCACTCTCATTTTGTCTGCCCCAAGGGCTCCACTGGGAGCAGATCAAACCTCCTCCCTCTACTGAGCCAGAGTCCTCCTGCCTCTAATTTCCCTCTGGGCAAGTTGTCCTCCAAATACTTCCACTCTAGCCCAGCTCTGCTTTCTTCCTGTTGGTGTAAAGGGAAGAGCTCCTTGAGTTTGAGGTCAAGCTCTCTGTCTACACATTAGAAACCCTAGGCCCTTTCCCTGACTGGAAGTCAAGAGCAGGGCCAACCTACCCAGAAGGAAAACAAAACCACTGGCTGAAGGCTTACTGTACCCCTTTAGTTATGGTGGTTCTTACTATACCCCTTCAGGCACAGTGGTTCTCCTTCAGCTGGCCAAAGACTCTGATCGCTGGAGGAAAGATGTGACAGTGTGATTCTGATGCATCTCTCATCTCTTCTATACTCTACTCACACCTCCACTAGTGTCATTCCTGAAATATCAAAACTGCCTCCAAGATTTGCTGTCACTCTGCAATTCTCATTTTGAAACCCCATAATAAGTCCAAACTAACTTGGAGAGGCTTTCAGAAAAACAGATCAGTAACCAAAAATTATTGAAAACAAATTCTAATATTAACTTGTCTTTACATTATCATTGAAAGGGCCACCAATCATAAATTCCTAATTCCTCTAAAATTCCCATCCTTTACAACTCTCAGCCCCATCTACCCCCACCCAACCTCCATGCTATGAACCTGATGAAACTTATCCTTGCTACATCTTCTACCTTAGTTTCATCTCATTACTTAAGCCTTAACTATCATCTTTATGTGGATGATAAAATATGTGTGAGATAGAATGCTGGTTGTCTCCAAAATTGGTTACCCTGTTCATAGATTAAGAGCTCTTGGGCTGGGCATGCAGCCTCCTAAAGACTCCCCAGAGGATAGGGATAGCTGAATGGGAATGTAGATGTGATGGAAGGAGTTAGAGCAACCACATAGGGCCAAGAGATGGAGGTGACATGCTGAGGAAAGCAGAACAAGATGGGAGGAGTGTGGATCCCTGATATGTGGAACACCTTCTCCTACCAACATAAAAACAAGACAGGAGAACATGTCTATCTTTTTGAGGCTCCTAGGATTTGGGGTCTCTGTGTTAAAAGTTCACAAACTCATATCTTTACTACAAAAAAAAAAAGAGAGGAAGGCATTTTACCACTGTGCCTTTCTTCCTTGCCACCCCCCATCCCTGAAGGAGTTTTGATTTTTTTGTTTTTTATCATCCTAGGCCATTGAAAAAGTGGGTTAGCACAGGCAGCTTGAGGCTCAGGCTGGTGTCCTGATGATTGCAGGTGTGCTGCTGGTAGCTGTGGATGGAAAATCCATACTCCTGACAAGACTTGAGGGAGCATATTTGGCTTCCATGCAGCTTGCCAGAAGGGTGACATGCCCTGTTCTGCAGGATCTGGGCTGACCAACTCGCCCCATGCTTCTCTAGGCCCACTCTCCCCTTCTGCCTGATATAGCAGGGAGTGTGGGCAAGCTCGAACTGAGTCTGTGCTCACTGGGGAAAGGGGCTTTCAAGGCTCAATTCCATCAAGCTGCTGGACAAAAGAGGGAATGCTGGGCAGGAGGGAAGGAAATCTGCCCACCATGAATTCCGAAGATGGGCCCTGGCTTGCATGCCCTCCTTCCCTTGGGGACCCCTCATTCCCTGGATCAGCTTCATAGAACTCAGAGATACAAGCAAGTCCCAGCATCACACTGTACGAATAGCCCCAGAAATGTAACCCTACTTCATTTCCTCAGCCAACTGTGAGTACAGTCCCTTTTATAGCTTGAAAAAGCAGCGCTCCACCTCCACCCCATTGTTCCTAGTCACAATGTTTGATTTTTAATATCTGATATTACAGAAGGGCAGGGCTTTTTCATGCTTACGGAGGGGGCCCAGGTTTCAAAGTCTGAGAAGTCCTCAGAATGGAACATGTACTCTAAGACACTCCAAGGAGCAGAAGTCATGCAGACAAAAGTAAACGCTCGCATGACCAGAGGGCCCGAGTTGCACAATTCTGCTGGCTACAGAGTGTCCACGGATGGACTGAGAGGCAGAGCTGGAGGAAAGATTGTTTTAAAAGTCTGGAGAGTTCACAGGTGGCTAACATAACATGATATTCTCTGGACTAAAAATTTACAAACCAGTGAACAAGTGGTTTTGAATCACCCAAGTCTCAGGCAGCAAATGGACACCCCATTCTGGTCACTCGAGTATGACCCCTGGGGACTGTTAGGGCCCCAGTACCTCCAGGAAGTACAGGACACACTGCTGAGAAGCAACAGTAGGAGGTTTCTGGGCTCCCGGGTACCGAGCAGCAGCTCCTGGGGCGGGTAGGCTGAGGGGGCGGCTACTGAAGGCGACTTTCCCACAACCCACAACAGGGCTTCTAAGGCCTCTCTGCCATGCGAGCTGGGGGACAGGGCAGCAAGGCGGGTTGGCTCCTGCCCCCTGGTGGTTAAGAGCAGCTAGAACTGCCAGCCAGACACGTGAACCCACGTGGCACGGTATCTGGGGGCACGGCCGTTTTCTAGCACACTCGCTTCATCAATAACATCACAAGTAACAAAGGTTTTGAGCACAGATAAAGCTCACTGATTTAACTTCTCGCTGTTCCCCTGGGGTCTAGTTTAAGGCCCCTACAAGAGATCAGCCCTTTGCTTCTAGGACTCTGTTTCCCTATAGAATGAGGTCAAGTGTTAAAACTCAAGTATTTGGACATATAAAACCAGAAACTTACCAGAGTGCTTCTTTTTCAATATAACCAATTTACGCATTAACGTAATGCGGTACAAGCAAGTAAAAGCACACCAATTGTTGTAGGTATTTAACTTTATTATATTTTAAAATTTGACAACTGTAAAACTTAGTATTTATGCAAACACCTGAGGACTGTTCAATGGGGCACAGCATCTTCACACAAACAATTTGAGAGAAGACTAAAAGTATACATTAGATTCTTGCCTTATAACACAAAAGAAATAACATGGATAAAACCACTCTATAGATCACATGTGCCCAGTAAACAGTTGCTTTTGTTTATAAATATAAAGGACACTTGGTTTTCTAAAATTAAAAGGTACATTATGGCCCCTGGTGAACATTTTATTGGCATTTATAACGAATGGCTAATACATTTAGCACCAATTCTCATAGCTTATAAAGATTACAACAAATGTTATGCAATATAACAATGTAATAAATAACAATAATCATAATGAATGGGTTTTGCTTGAAAGTTCTAATTTTAAAATAAATCCCAAATGACAAATTAGAACTAATGTACCTTCCAAAGATTAGAAGGATAAATGGCTCAGAAAGCAAATTAACGCTGCACAAGACAGAGAACATCCCTGTTTGGAAACCCTGAAGACTGAGCTGAGAGGTACTAGTGATAGCAAATGAAGTGCATATTTTTAACAGAATAAAACATCTCACTATATATAGACTTAATCTTTATCTCTGTAGAAGTGTAAAGTGCCATTTTAAATTAAAAAAGAAAAGATTTACTTGAGTGTATACTTCTAATAAATAAAACATAAATATGAAACAGTATCCATGTGAGGAATACATCTTTTAAAAGAATACACATCTTTTAAAAATAATACATCTTTTAAAAATAAAATAAAATAAAATTAGTATGTTTCTATGAAAATAAAATAAATATTCAAACATAGGCATCTTCGTAGAGAGATGTGAGCTATAAATATCTAGTTAAATATCCGAGCTTACACAAAATACTTAAAAACTTTTTAAATAATAGATATTTAATGGAAAATATTATAATCAGACTCTACCCAAACCACCCTTGTAATATATCTACTGCATAAAATGACTATTCTATCTATCTTATAACTTATCAAAAAACTGGTATGAATACTTTATGAAATTTTATAAGTTTGCTTTTTTTCTTTAAATAGGAACAAATACAACATAGAAATAAATAACAAAAGCTAAATAATTTATACGGCTATTCCCTTTCTGGAAACTGGTAGAAGACAAACAGAAGACTACAGTAACAAACAAACTATCTGAGAAAGAGATGGCATCTGCAGTTGCATCTTCAAATTCTCATCTAAGGAAAGCTTCTCGTGGTTTACTCATCAGAGAACTTGCTAATCCCTGATAATCTCCCCTTTGGGATTTAGCTGTTTTGGTTCTATATATAAATGTTAACCAATATCAAAGGTGCTTTTCTATTTCCTACATGAAATATATTTGTAAACTGTACGATAAATAAAAAAAAAAGATATAAAGAACAAACTGCTCATTTGAATATGTTAGTACTAATATGTTCAGTTGTTTCTAAAGAAGTAGACTGGACTGGACTATAGTTCTGCAATTCTGGTTTTAACATATTGTTAGAGGCACCTTCTACACAACAAAAATTTCTAAGGGCAAAAAAATAATTTTACACCAAGAGGGTGTTGGTCTCCCCAGAATTAAGCCAAACCTAAATCTACATAAATGATTTTTCAGGGGTCATGATAGTTGCCTCTTTAAGCTTTTCGATGTAGTGGCACAACTTCACAGCTGTGCCCAGCTTTAGCCCCATGTACTTTATCATCATGTCACTATTGAGTAGCAGCAGAGCCTTCCCATCAATGTCCTACAGAGAGAAGGAAATTACAGTAATTAATAATGTTTTCATATTTTATCAGAATGGTCATTTCTTTACATATGAGAATATGTAACACCAATTAGAGGGTAGCTCATTCCAGATGTATATTCTCTGAATACACATCTGCTTGATGAAAACTATGACACTATTAAACAGTTTTTATCTTTAAAACTACTTTAGCATCATTTGATCATTTGTCAATTTACTTCAAATTTTAAGAAAAAGGAAATTTAACCTAATATCTTCAGTGTCCTAAGTGTCGAACTACCTAATTTTGAATACTGTGTTGAATAAAATGCATAGCTATGACAAAAGCAATAAAAACTATGAATGGTAGATGAATTTCAGATCTTGTTAACTTTCTTAGAAAGGGTAGGAATACGAGTATGTCAGCATTGATGCAAACTGTAAATGTGCTATATATTACTGTCTTGATGTTGAAAGTTAGTTGTGTGAAGCTAATTAGATGCTAAAACTAATTACTGTTTTTCTTACCATACTAAAAAGGGTTTATCAGATATGTGACCAATAATTTTATTCATTAGGAAAACTATAAAACTATGACTTGATAAATAAAAGGAATTCTCCTTAAATTCTTTATTACATTAACTGACCAACCGATGCCACTGAAGCATATTATTTAATTTTCACGAGATCTGGTTTAAAATTAAACTATATTGAATCATATATCACTGTCTAAAAAGACTGGAAATCTCATATAGTACTGCCTTTGTCGGGCATCTTCTATAACTTTTCTCCTAAGTAAAACTAGAAATTAAAGAAATTAGAATTTAAAAAGTTTAGTCCATGATGCTATTTTGTAAATGGTATAAAGGTAACAATATCCCAAATCGTCAATAACCACAAACGGTTAACAGAACTGAGCCAAATGGAAACAGTTGCTGGATTCACTGGGCATCATAACAAGGAGGACACCCTGTCACAGCTTGTGGTCACCGCCTCCTACTCAGCGTCCTGGGCCAAGCAAGGACGAGGGGAGGAGGATCCTTGTAGCTGTCGTTACAAAGGACAAGACACCTGAGAGTGGCCATGCTGAATCATCTTCTCTTGAGAACTTGAAGACTTGTAATATTGTATGTACTCGGGGACCCATTTAAAGCACAGATCCAGCCTCTACCATTTAAGGATCTAACTCTGGACAAAGTAACCTTTCTCACATATGGAAAAATCAGTTGATAGGGTTCCCCCACCATCCACACTAATCAGCACCCAACTGAAGGGCCTGCAGAGAGGTCAAAGGCATTATGGTAGGAAAATCAGGTCAAAAGATACGTTACATGTTGCCTGAAGAGGTCGGCGAGGGAGTCTGATATCTGAGGATCCATGTGTTTCAGAAACAGGATCACGTCTTCTATGGACCAGGATGAAGGATCATCAGAGCCTTGTTTCAGCATACCTGGGTCAATTTCAACTAGTGAACCTGGAGCTTCAATGGGGAGAAAAAAGACAAATCATACTTGACCTGATCATTATGCTGAAAGAAGAGATGTTAGGTAGGGAGTAATGGTCTCATTCCTGGAACCATCTGCAAGGAATCCCGGGGAGGACCCAGGACTCCAAGGGTAAAATCTAGTGAAAGCTTAGCTAGATAAAGATGATATGAGGATGGCTACCCACGAGTGTGCCATCTGACTGTCCCCAAACAACAAAAGCAGCCTCAGAAGTTACCTTAAAGTTTCAAAGGTCATAAAACAGACTGAGCAATATGAAGTCTCTTTGGACACAAGCTATATAGCAAAAGATCTGTTTCTTGGGCTAAATTAGGTAAATCTAAGCTAACCTATTATTCTCTTTAAGCATGTCAGTGAATTTCTCTCAATCTCTCTCCTCTTGGTCTGTCTAGTTTAGGTTTATTTTAGTAGCCAAATGCAAGGGAGATTCTCCAAATTTAGTTTTATAATTGCTTAAATTTATTTATTTTAATCAATGAATTTCAATAACTCCATTATCTCTGAGAACCAAATTAGTTATTTTACCAAATCTCTCACATTAATTCAATATGGACATTTTTAGCATTACTTTACTCTTTAAATTTCTCTCTCTTAAGCCTTAAATGCTTATCTGAATTTTGAAGAAAACAAGATTATTTTCTGCTTAGCTAAGTTAGAAGTAACATTAACATTATATTCAATACCTCTCTCAAGTTTAATTGCTAGTAATAGATATTTTTGCTGAAGGGTTATATGTTGAAAAAAGACATAACTGAGCCATGAAACAATTTAAGTGCTCAGACCTCAAATAGTTTTGGCTGTGCTGTTCACTAAGTTGCACTGAAATTTCTTTGTGTCTAGACAAGTTTTCGCTTACTCAATCAGAGCACGCAGCTCCCCAAAGTTAGTGTGTGATAAGAGGTGGGTTTTGTAATTCGCTCAAGTAGATTTGTTTCTCTCTCCAAGGATCATCAATACAAATTTAATCTTTTTGTGTTAATTAAGACACATCATCTGGGCTCTGGACATTTTAGGGACATTTTGAGTATTTACCCAGAGAAAAGGCAAAGAAAAACAGAAGATAAAAGAACTCACAATGGTTAATATTTTTGTGTGTGGTTCAGAATTTGATTTTCTTTTGCAATATTGCAACTTTGATGCAAAATAAAAACTTTTTACTAAAATATATGCTCCCCTCCACTTGTCAGAGATAAAAATGTTGGTCATATGTACCAAGAAATGCTGCTGGGCTGAATCAACCAAAGTAAAAATAATGATGGTGTAAACACACCTAAGGCATTCTAACAATTCAGACAGAAAAGTCTTCTCTTTTAACTCAAGACTCAAATCATACCTCCAAATTAACTTATGTTTTTGTGGTATTTCTGGGTTCTGTCATCAGAATCTGGTATAGTTATGTCTTAAATAACATATAACTAGTTTTACAGATAATTACACATAAACTATGAGTAAAGATATGATTTCAGGTAGAAAACTGTAATTTTATATTAAAAATAGAACTGTAAGGTCATCTGTTTTTAATCTATTATAGAAAAATAATTTAATTGGGCCCATATCTTCAAAACAACCAGAGAAGGTTACAAACATTACATCAGTGTTATTCAAATAATTATAAGAAACAAACTAATTATGTAAACAATAACCAAAGTCCAGTCACAACTTTCTCTTGAATGGCTTTGTCTTACATATATTAGAATATCAGAAATATTTCTGAAATAAAGTAACAGTTCTAATACCTTAATGAAAATAATAGTAATGACACCTCTAGACAGTTTCCAAGTGAAATGCTTACCCAGTCTCTAGAGATGCAAGCAGCACAGTGGTTAAGAGTATGGCCCTGGAGCCAGAGTGCCTAGGTTCAAGGACTGGCCCAGCTATTTTCTAGCTAGAGGGCACCTTAGCCAAGTGACTTCTCAGATTTTTCACCTAAAAATGTTTACCAGCACCTACATCTCAAGGAATTGTTGTAAAGGTGTGATGTATAATGCTATGTAAAATACTATGTGCCTAGCACATAATGTCAGATGGAAATAAAGACGATGATTTTTATTACTATTAAGTAACTACTAGCAAGTAATGTTATTACTATTAGTCTTCCTGCCATGATTCTAGGAAAACCAAAGGCTAGCCTCCTCAAGCTCAAATATAGGCCACTTTGGCACTGTAGTGTTAGGCATACATCTGGAAGTGACATATTCATTCAACATGAGAGACAACCTTTTAGTCATTTACTGAGAAGGCCTGTCTTCGAAAGTTCGTATTTTGTGAAAATACCTAAAAATTCAGGGGATGACACCTCTTTATAGCATAAACATCTATCTCCAGACTCTCTGAAAACATCACTCTAAAAGCAGAGGCAATCTACACAGAGGCAAACTTCAGCATCTCTAGTGGATTGGCCCTGATAGTGAAGTGAAGGGGAAGACTCGACACCTCTTCAATTTGGAATTTTCTCCAATGTGATAAACTCTCAGGGGATGTTATTGGGCATAGAAACCTTAAGGGGAAAGACAAATACATTGACTGATAATCACTGTTTTTAAATATACCTTCGCTTTCCTTTGGCATTTGGAATTCAACTTCCTGATGACTGCCCTGGGGAGATGAACTGGTCCCTGCTAGTGCTGAGCTTGAGGTGTCTGGCACACTTATAGGATTTATGCTGTCAGGATTCAAAGAACTTTCTGGATTGAGTGGTAAGTTTTCAGAATCTTCAGGAAGCTTCTCCTCTTTGGGCATGCCATCTTCCTCAGAAGATGGTAGTCCTTCTATATGAAAAAAAAAAAACGAAAACAAAAAGGCGATTATCTTCATCAGACTTACAGTTCGAATACTATTAAAAGGTCAAAAATCTACTAATCTCCAACAATAGTTCACTTAAGCATTGGTATACTGAACTTTCCCTTTCTTGGTATTAATAGAAATGGACACTATCCTGAAATCCAAATTGATTCTATAACATCACCTATAGTTCTCATAGCAGCTATCTCTTGCAAGTCTTGCCACCAAAGTCTTGATCACCTCACTAAAGCAGTCATTTTTAGAAATGTCAGTTCTTCACAACTATTTGTTATAATATGATCACACAGTTGGTTTCTACTATTTGCTTACTACCTGGGCACTTAAAACTTTCACTGGAGAAAGGTATTAGGTTTTTCTATTCCTCAACAGCTTTTAGCAGTATAAAGCTGACTAGAAAATTTTACTGTAACTGTTTTTACTCTAAGAAGAAATGACAACTGTGCCCTTCTGAAGGGAATGAAGTGTTCAACAAAGCTCTCAAATGATTTGGGCAAATACACTCCCCTTATCCCCATCACCACCACCCAAGAACATACATAAATGGTATAGAGTGACTTTTCTTTCCAATCCTGGGATATGTAAATACTACTTACCTGCAGGGGCATGTACCTGAACCTGTATTTTGGAGAGCTTAGGAGAGGGAGCAGCAACATAGGGTAGAGGTTCCTCAGGAGGTCGTTTGGTGCTCTGTTTTTCTATTATGTCTTCTTGTACTGTTTTCGAAAAAAACTGTCTATTATAATATACTCTAGCATTTTCATATCATCAGCATACAATTTTTGTTGCTAAATCATTTTCCCATTTGACTTCATCAACAATTTATCAATTATTTGATTATTTATGAATAACATGTTCATTTCTTCCTATTAAATATTTTGGTGACATCATATACTTGAGTTTAAAGTATTATGTCAAGGCTTTATTTATTCTAGGATCATCACATATCTCTAAATATCTCAGGAAACTGAGGCAACCAATTATAATGTGTCTAAAAAGGCCAGGAAAGTTGCGTCAATGAGCAAGAAAAGTTAAGAATTCAGAGTAGTTAAGAAAAGATAAGGTACAATGAACACCTCCTTTTATAGGCAACCATCCTGGCCTAGAGCTACCCTTCCAACACTCTACTGGCCTATTTCTCTTTCAACAAAATGCATTTCAATCTTAAAAAAAAAACACTTTAAGGCATGATCCTGAAAGATAACTCAAATTATCAATTACATTCTAAATATTAATTAGTACCTTGATTTAACCTCCAACTAAAAAAAAAATAAAGTATAATAAAAATATAAAAAGTCTAATAGACTTCAAGAGAGAAGAAAGATTGCAATGAAAAAGTACCAAAG